TCATACTCATTAGTTTTTCCATCAAGGAGAATTAGCTATGCGTCCAGGCTCTGCTCTAGATATCATTTTGCCATTCATGTTCAAACTGCTTCCGTTAATACCACCCTATCAGGACTCAACAAATGCCTTATTTATGATTATACTATATTGCACTAATGTTTTGGTGCAAGGCACTCATTTTACAGGAAGAGAAGTGAGGCAATGCACTTGTACCCATGGGAGTCAACAGAATTATCATGCACCTAGTGAAACAGAATCAGATGAACTTATGGAATGGTGGAACTGCTTATTGAAGACCCGCTTGTTGGACCAACTGGCTGTCAGCACTTTACACAGTTGAGTAACTGTCACCAGGATATGGTCTGTGCTCTGCATTAGCAACCAACATGAAGCTATTTCTTTCCTAATCAGACTATTGGCCCAAGTACAATGGATAAAAGTGGGAACAACCACTATAAAACCTACTAACCCACTCTCAACATTTTTTCCTTGCTGCCTCTATGACAGTGGACTTTGCTGAATTAGCGTAGTTACTTCCCAACAGAGGGATAATTTTACTAGGAGACACAGCAATTGCTCCTGCCTCCTGGGCATGCATTTTGCTGAACCAACAGATAAAAAATGCTTTGTATTCTTTTGGGTAACAGATACTAATTAGCAAAAGATATTAATAAAAGGAGACAAGGAGGAGTATAGTGGTAACCCAGGGAATTTTACATCATCCCTCCTAAGACTGCCACGTCTGATGGTAAATATTAATCAATAACTACAGCAAGTCAACAGGGCCAGTCCACAAGGGTTCAGATCCTTCATCAAGAAAGATTCGCATCACCTATCAGGTAAACAACTTCCGCACACTTGAGATATTGTTGAGAACAGGGGGATTATGGAAAGAAAAACATCAACTATTGCCTTTTACCAGTTGCATATATGAGGACGTTATGAGACACCATTATTTTCTTCATTTTTCTCATTCTCCTTCCCTTACTATGTTGCATAAAATGTATTTATGACAGCTTAATAATTTAATTTTTATCAAATACAAATTGGGAGTTTTTGATTGATATAGAACATTTTAAAAACATTTTTGAAGAGTATACAGCAACTGCTGAAAATTGCTAACTTGATACATGACACCTGGATAAACAACCTTAAAGCAATTAAAGTTACAAAGTGAACCTAACTTCAGATTCAGTCAGTCATCATTTAACCTTTACTTAATGAATAAGAGGGCATTTGTTGGGTTTTGCCCAATATCATGGTCGTGCTATTTTACCTCTTCTTACCCATTGTTATTGACAAAATATAGCTAAAGAATAAATAAGGAAAGTATTGGGTGAAAATGAAATGACCTTTGTGACCAGGATCAAAAATTTCCTTGTAACTTGTATTCTGAAGGATAATATTTCCCTTCATAACTATTTCTATTTGCCTACTAAAAACTTTGTTGTCATGATAGATTGAAATGCTTCTTTTTCAGTGAGGAAATCAAGACTGAAAGATTCTTTTGGTCCATCCCAAAGGATTCACAGAGCAAGGACAGAAAAACTCTCATATGGATTTTGACTCCTATTAGGCTCTTTTTTCATTTATTTTCTTCTTTTTTAATCTAGAGTCTCTGTGGCCTTCAAGGACTTTGGCCTTGGAGCCTAGATACCTTGATAAGTGACATGCTTCCTTCTTTCCCAGGAGGACTATCTCCCAGAAGGTGGGGGAGACCTCAGTGCTACAGTTATTTGAAAAAGCTACACTGTTATGCCCAAACCAAAGCCACTGTGAATAACTGCTGCTGCTATTTTGGCAGATTACTGGGGATTCCAGATGTCTGAGGGCCTCAAGTTATATATCCAAGACAATCTACTTTCCCTCTTTAATTTTAAATTTTGTTTTTGAGGAAGATTAGCCCTGAGCTAACTACTGCCAATCCTCCTCTTTTTGCTGAGGAAGACTGGCCCTGAGCTAACATCCGTGCCCATCTTCCTCTACTTTATATGTGGGACACATAGCACAGCATGGCTTTTGCCAAGCGGTGCCATGTCCACACCCGAGATCAGAACCAGCGAACCTCAAGGCTGCCAAGAAGCGAAATGTGCACACTTAACCGCTGCTCCACCGGGCCAGCCCCTACTTTCCCTCTTTAAAAGGATTCAAATACCAAAAAATGCAGGAGAGAGAATATTCTGCAGACTGATTTCTCAGGTTCACTTTGCATAACCTTAGAATATAATTCCTGGAATTATTTCAGTTTTAGCAGAGTTTCATTTAGGAAATTCACCTTGTCTCTCTTGTATAAGGGATTGAAGCATTTTTGGAGAAATCAACTAGTAAAAAAAAAGACACTTATTCAAATAGAGCAATTACAAAATACATCAAATTTTTCTATGGAAGGAACTCCAAACGGGGATAATGAAATGCATTTGGAAATTGTGAGGGGAGAAGGGTTGCTTTTATCTTGATGTGATGTTTTTTCAGTAGTTGTAGTTGTTAGTCACTAATTACGCTCTTTACCCTTTCCAGAATTAAAACAGTAACAAGAGGAAAACGTTGAATTCTGCGGCTTCATTTACAGAACCTGACAAATTACCAAGTAATGCAAGGTAGAAGTAAATTTTAAGACATGTGAGTCTTTGACTAACAATATGTCACAAACTGACTACTTGTTTGTTGGCTACTCTGGGAAAAACTCTCCCTTTTCCAGGTATAAATGTCTTCAGTCATAAATATTAATATTAGAATGATTTTAATAGGAATAAATCTCAGATATTAGAATAATCTGTGTCCTTGCTCCTAGGTGAGACTAAAGGAAAACAAGATAAATTATGTTTTCAAAAAATATTTCATGACACTTCAGGCTCTCTTTTCACTGCTTCAATATCTTACTTCTTCCCAGAACCTAAGCATAAAGTATTTGAAATCTTCCTCCTTTATAATGCAATTATTTGCAATTTTTATTTGTGATGGCACTGGGACTGACAAAAATATAAAAATAATACACCCTGCCATTTTCCTATTAGTCTTCTTTTTCTCTGGGAAAATATAACACTTCTCTCAGATTTCTTTATCTTTTTAAACTTTCACAGTTTCTCTGATTCTTTCCCTCAAGTTAGAATAGTTTATCAAAAAACCCCACATACATATTAAGAATTTACAACATAATTACTACTGATGATTTTGGCCTGCATTGTGGGATTGAGCAAAGAAGGATAATAAAAATAATACTGGCTGTTACTTATCAAGTTCTTACTCTATCACAAATGTGCTAAGTGATTTGCATACATTATCTCATTATTTTCCCCAAAGAAAACGTTGAGGATGACAGTATTGTTATTCCCCTTCTGTATGAGGATGCAGTGGTGTCCTAACTTGCCAAAAGTTACATTAGTAGCATAACTAAGTGATGTGAGTGATATAAGTAAGCCTAATAAGTAACTTGTCCAAGGTCAAGGTAAGAAAATGAGAGAAGCAGCATTATTGAAACCTCTCCCCGTGCTAACCACTGCAGTATTACAGTCTTCAAGTTTCTCTCTGATCCTGTGTGCTCAATTGTCACTCAACTTTTAGCTATATAATAAATATGTATTGATTAATTGCCATTTGCCAGATGTAGAACCTTCTGCTAACAATGTATGGAGGATGAATTGAAGTTTTGATCTTAAGGAAGTTATTGTCAAGTATGGAATTATTAATATTTAATATAAAACATGGTGAGAATAGCTACTATCCTTGGGATCATGATGTATGCAGGGATGTTTTGACCCAGGTTGAAGAATCAGGGAACTTATTTTGAAGATAAGAAACTTTAACTGAACTCTGAAATGTGAGTAGAAGTCAGTCAGGTAAAGGAACAGGAAGGTGGTATCAGGCAGTTATCAGGAGCATGGATTCTGGAACCACATTTCTTGACTTCTGATTCCCATTAGTAAGCAGCTTTCAACAGACTTCATTTATTTGTACTTTAGTTTCCTCATCTATAAGCTGGGGAAAATAATAGTAGTCACCTCATATTATTGTTGTATGCATTAAATAAAATACTATGAAAATATTGAGAAAAGTGTCTGGCATATAAAAGTGCCACATAAATGTTTGCTATTATAATTATTGTCTGGGAAGAATTGTGCATATAAAGCCCTGAGGGGAGAGAAAGAGTGACCATATTGTTAATACAAGGAGTTCAATACCCTAGCTGAGCTGTCTAGTAAATGAATTAATGATGACTATGAAGGTTATCTCCATGGTAAATAAGAATGCAATCAACAATTCCTCCATATTTATCTTGTGTTCAGCATCCATTTCTAAAGTCATTTTGTCTAGACTACCTGTAGGCCTCTTCTTAAAAAACTATGAACTGTGTAGGCTGAGGAAATAAGGGAAATTATCTTTATGAAAGGGCTTTAGAGGCCCATCTGGGAGAGAAACCCTAGCATGTGAGTGCTAATGATTTTTATGTTTGGTGGTGCACAAACTTTTATCTCAGTGAGTATATAACTTGTATCAGGATCCAAAGTTTCCATTACCCACGAAAAATAATTGCATCTCTTAAGTAGTTTTCAAATTTAGTCACTTTCTTTATATCTGCTGGAGCTCTAACTCAAGCCCTCAAAGTTAAATTTTCCTAAACTGGACTACGGAAGGCCCCTCCATCTCCAAACCCAGACGCCAAAATTGCTTCTCAAATGTCATTTATTAAATTATTTGTGCTCTATTCCAATCACTGCTTCATGACATTAAATTTAGTGCATAAATCATGAGTCAGAAATGTATACAGAAGTGATGCTTGCAAATGCGAAAGGCATTTGGCTGGAAAGGCATTGCAGTAGACTCAGAGGAAAAAGATCTAATTTGACAGCTTGTATGAATTAGGGCATAAAACTAACCTGCTGATTCACCACCAGTTGGAGTTGGCTTAATAAGTCACAGTAATTTTTTAAGTTTAAAGTGAATAATGATTAGAGAATAGCTTTATAAATCCTAATATAGTAAGGGATTATTTGAAGGTAGGACCCAAGACAAGAGTTAATTTGTTGATTTTGCCTTGTGCCTCTCAACAGGATTCTGCCATGGGTGACAGGGGAACATGCAATCACACAGAAGTGACAGACTTCATTCTCGTAGGATTCAGGGTCCGCCCAGATCTGTACATCCTGCTCTTCCTGCTATTTCTGCTTGTATATGTCATGATCCTTCTAGGAAATGTTGGGATGATGGCCATTATCATGACAGATCCCCGGCTGAACACACCAATGTATTTCTTCCTAGGCAACCTCTCCTTCATTGATCTCTTCTACTCGTCTGTTATCGCACCCAAGGCTATGATCAACTTCTGGTCTGAGAGCAAGTCCATCTCCTTTGCAGGCTGTGTGACCCAATTTTTTCTCTTTGCCTTCTTCATTGTGACTGAGGGATTTCTCCTGGCAGCCATGGCTTATGACCGCTTCATTGCCATCTGCAACCCACTCCTCTACTCTGTTCAGATGTCAACAGATCTCTGCACTCAGTTGGTGGCTGGTTCCTATTTTTGTGGCTTCATCACCTCAGTTCTTCAGACCAGCATGACATTTACTTTACCCTTTTGTGCTTCTCGGGCCATCGACCACTTCTACTGTGATACCCGCCCACTTCAGAGACTATCTTGTTCGGACCTTTTTATCAGTAAAATAGTTTCTTTTTCCTTATCCAGTATCATTATCTTGCCTACCATCATAGTTGTTATTGTTTCTTACTTGTATATTGTATCCACAGTTCTAAAGATATGCTCCACTGAGGGACGTAAGAAAGCCTTCTCCACTTGCAGCTCTCACCTAGGAGTTGTGAGTATACTGTATGGCGCTGGCTCTTTTATGTATCTCACTCCTGACAGATTTCCTGAGCTCAGTAAGGTGGCCTCCTTATGTTACACCTTAGTCACTCCCATGTTGAATCCTTTGATTTATTCTTTGAGAAACAAAGATGTCAAAGAGGCTCTAAAAAGACTTCTAGAGAAGAAGAATACTATTCTTTGATTATTATTTCTCTTCCACCCAAGGAGCTCTGGCTGTTTGTTTCATCCTTCTGTGACCATTAATGAAAGTTATTCTCCTGAACATCATGAAAATATTATCGGAAACTTTTTCAAGGTGATGTACCCTTCCCATATATTATTATTTTTTCCCTCTGAGACATTGTTAATCCTGAACGTCATGTGTATTGGGGATGTCCTGGACATTAGAGAAGTATATTTCAAGATGAACCCTTCCGCTGATCTCAGATAACATTTTATTTCACAGAATTGATTTCTATTTATTTTCATGGCATTCTGCTGAACACTATTTTTATATTTTATTACAGTTTTAAGCAACATTTTGGCTGAATTTTGTCTTTGGAATTGCTTCTCCCCTTACACACAGTCATTGACAATTGACAGTAATGCCCAACTTATTTCACTTAGAAACATTTCCCAGTTTTATAGCTAATTTCTTTAGCATAAAACGGTTATTAAATTTTTATTTCAAATCAAGGATTTTATATGCATTATATTGAGAAGAAATAATAATGTGAAGATACAAACAATAATTAACCACTCTATACATTAACTGGGAAAATTGTATATTGAGTTGTCAGACATTGTCGAGTGCTTGGAGGTACTACTCGTTGCTGGAAAATAATATAAAGAATCAAAGTGGGAGATAGAGATATGCAAATATTTTTAAGCAATCATTCCCTCTATTTTTATCTTCATAATTTTTTCCTGTATTAATTATTGCGAGGAACATCTATTAACATTATAGAAACAAGATAGTCATCATAATAGAGTGTGAGCAAAATTTATTCGTTATGCCTCTGAATATTTACTAATTTATTTGATTAGTTTTATTGGGTACCTGTGTAATGTGTTGTGACATTGTGGTAGGCTCAGGTGTAAATAACCTGATTGTTTTGGGAGCTTGCAATTTGGTGTGAAAGTCACATCTTTGGACAGATAATTAAAATCCAGAGATGTGTATGCCAAAGATAAACACAGAGATTGCGAGGTGAATTGCCTGAGTGCAGGTGGTTGGTAATCAGGGAAAATCTTTAGGACTATGTGGAAGATATATTTAAAGGGGCTAAGATTGGAGTCAGGGAAACTGACTCCTTTTTTGAATTTCAGAAGTAATATACAGTGCTTCTTAGTGTGTGTGCAGCCATGACACACCCAAGTTTACCTGGTTTCATAAAATGTCAGCATTCTTCAGCTAGCTTGGGCTTCAGAATAAGGAGCATTGTCACTTGGAACTTATGAACAACAGTATCCAGTGATGCTCTGAGTCCTTGTGGAATATCAGGTATTCTGTGGAAACTGTGGCAAACTCTGGATAATCACAACGTTGGCTGCTAAGGATTTAGAGGAAAGCAAGTTTTATGCAAGTTCTCCTTTTGAGAAACAGCTTCTATGTTAGGCCCTGATAGAGACTCTACTCTTTATTATGGAGATCAAGTGACTATTACCCTGAAAAGCAGTATCTAATCCATCAAACATGCAGTAGGATTTAAAGAGAAGCATCAGGAAGTGGAAGTTGTATATATGATGTTTGGCTTGAATGTATCTTAAGGTCAGAAATAATTTTATGGGCAAGTGGCTTGTATTTCCAGTGTACTACTTCCTGCTGTGTTGTCATCTTTCTTTCATCCTACATTTATTATCATGTGGGACATTGTGTATTCAAAGTTTGTGAGGCAAAAATAAATTGAGCAAGGTTTATCAACGGTACTGCATGTAATATGAGCACGAGCTAGAAATGGACATAGTAGTCCAAGTCAGGGTTGTTCCCTACAGGGCACTGATAAGGAAAATATTCTTAATGGACATAATTTCAAGCTGCATACCTTGTTGTTTTATTGCCTGGAATATGGTCTTGGATACCTACTTACACTGACTTAGGGGTGGTGGGCTAATGGTTCAGCTGGATAACCAGGAACTTGGATGCAACAAGATTGAAGGATTATTGACAAGCTGGTCTGTTTGTAGCTAGACCTCCCTGAACAGTAAAATCAATTGTGAATATGAATTTCCCACATAAATCCTCAGTAAATTACATCAGATGTGGAGGAGCTTCTCAGTAATCTGGTGAAGGCAATGATCCACTATCTTCCAGGCTCTTTTCCATCCACTTCATTCCTCATGCAACAGGTTCTATCAATAATATAGCCGTGGGAGAAGAGAGAGAACTCAACAACATGGACTGCTCACGATAGGCTGACTTAGAAACTGCCAATGCCATGTGCCCAATTTTCTAATGCCAGTCATCAAAAAGATGTAGAAACAACCTAAAGGTCTGTTGACAGATGAATGGATAAAGAAAATGCTGTATACACATACAATATTATTCAGCCTTAAAAAGGAAGGAAATTCTGTCATATATGACAAAGTGTATGTACCTGGAAGAAATCATACTAAGTGAAAAAGCCAGTCACAGAAGGACAAATCTTGTATGATTCCACTTGTGTATGGTATGTAAAACTGTCAAACTCATAGAAGCAGAGAGTAGAAGGATTGTTTCCATGACGGGGAGAGGGAAATGAGGAGTTGGTTGATATTCAATGGGTTTCAACTTATTTAAGTTGTGCAAGATGAACAAATTCTAGAGATCTGCTGTATAACATTGTACCTACAGTTAACAGTACTAACTATATTGTACACTGAAAAATTTCTTTAAAGTATAGATCCCATGTTAAATGTCATTACTGCAATAAAAAAAATCCTGGTAAGTATATCAGGAATAAGTATATGAGTTTACCACAGGTCATCATGTCTCAGACTGATTGCTTGTTTTTTCCATCAAGGAGAATTACTCGTTTGTCCGGGCACTGCTTTAGATATCATTTTGCCCTTCATGCTCAAATTTCTCCCATTAATACCATTCTATCAAGACTCAACAAATGCCTTTCTCATTATTATACTGTATTGCACTAGTGCTTTGGTGCGAGGCACTCATTTTACAAGAAGAGACGTAAGGTGATGCAGTCATACGTGTGGGAGTCGATAGAATTGTCATGTGCCTAGTCTAACAGAATCAGATGAACTTATGGAATGGTATAATCGCTTACTGAAGACTCACTTGTTGGACCAACTGGCTGTCAGCACTTTACAAAACTGAGTAAGTTTCATCCAAGATATGGTTTGTGCTCTGCGTTAGCAACCAATATGTGAGGCTAATTCTTTCCTATCAGACTATTGGCCCCAAGTACAATGGATAAAAGTGGGAACCACCACTATAAAACCTACTAATCCACTCTCAACTTTTCTTTCCTTGCTGCCTCTATGATAGTGGACTTTACTGAATTAGTATACTTACTTCCCAACAGAGGGGTGATTTTACTAGGGGACACAGCAATTACTCCTGCCTTCTGGGTATGCATTTCACCGAACCAACAGGTAAACAAAACGCTTTGTATTCTTTTTGGTAACTGATGCTGATTAGCAAAAGGTATTAATAGAAAGGAGACAAGGAGGAGTATAGTGGTAACTCAAGGAATTTTACAGCATGCCACCTAAGACTGCCGTGTCCAATGGTAAAAGTTAATGAACAACTACAGTAAGTCAACAGGGTCTGACCATAAGGGCTCAGATCCCTCATCAATAAAGATTTACTCTTGTACTAGGTAAACTACTTCTGCATTTTGGGAATATTTTTGAGACCAGGTAGACTATGGAAAGAAAAACGTCAACTATTGCCTTTTACCAGTATTATACAAGTGGCCTTTACGAGCCACTGTTATTTTATTTGATTCCTTCTTACTCGTTCTCCTTCCCTTACTATGTTATATAAGATGTATTTATGGAAGTTAGCTTAATGACTTAATTTTTATCAAATACAAAATGGGTTTTTTTGACTTATATAGAACAGTTTAAAAAATTATTTTGAACAGTATACAGTGACTGAAGGGTATACATTTGAGAAATTTTTAATACATGACACCTGGATAAACAACTTTAAAATGACAAAAGTTACAAAGTGAACCTACTTTTGAATCCAGTCAATCATCATTTAACATTTACTTGATGAATTAGAGGGCATTTGTTGGGTTTTGCCTCACATTCTGGTCATGCTCTTCTACTTATTATTCAGTATTATTGACAAAATATAACTAAAGAATAAATATAGAGAGTTTGGTGTGAAAATGAAGTTAACTTTACAACCAGGAACAAAAATTTCCCTATAACTTGTGTTATGAAGGATAATGTTTTCTTTCGTAACTGTTTCTTTTTGTCTACCAAAAACATTATCATGATATTTTGAAATGCTTCTTTTTCAGTGAAGAAGTCAAGATTGAAAGATCCTTTTGTTCCCTCCCAAAGGAGTCACAGCAAGGAAAGAAAAAAACGCTTCTATGTATCTTGCCTCCTATTAGGCTCTTTTTCCTCTTTATTCTCTTCTTCTTTTTAAATCTAGAGACTCTGTGGTCCTCATGGACTTTGGCCCTGGAGCCAAGATACCTTAATAAGTGACATGCCTCCTTCTGTCCCAGAGGGACTATCTCCCAGAAGGTGGGGCAAACCTCAATGCTGCAATTATTTGAAAAGGTTTCACTGTTATGCCAAAATCAAAGCCATTATGGATAACCGCTGCTGATCCTTTGGCAGATTATTGGGGATTACAAATGTCTCAGGTCCTCTAGTTATACATTCAAGACAATCTACTTTCCTTCTTCAAAAGGATTCAAACATCCAAAAATGCAGGAGAGAGAATATCCTGCAGACTGATGCCTCAAGTTCACTTTGCATAACCATAGACTGTAATCCCTGGAATTATTTCGGTTTTAGCAGAGCATCGTTTAGAAAACTCCCCTTGTGTCTCTTCTATAAGGGACTGCAGCATTTTTGACGAAATCAGCTAGTAAAAAGGACGGTTATTCAAATAGGGCAATAAGGAAAATACGTCAAATTTGTCTATGGGAAGAATCTAAAACTGGGATAATGAAAATGCATTTGGAAATGCTGAGGAGAGAAGGGTTCATTTTATCTTGATGTGATGATTTTTCA